TTTTTTTTTTTTTTTTTTTTGTTAGGGAAAATACAAAGGAGATTGCATATCGACGTTCACAATTGAGGCTTAAGTGGTTGCTTTTTGCAATGATCTTTTACTGTTGTTGTCGTTGTTGTTGAGTGCCACTTTAGTCTGTTACTTTGTTTTCTGCTGCAGCCAATGCTGTATATTACTTACAGTTTTGATTGCCGACTGATCACAGAGCGGGTGCTTTTTTTATTTATATTAAAAACTTATATTGTTTGCTGTTCAAGTTGACGTACAACAGTAGCAAAACTGTTGCATTATGGTATATCGACAAGTCTTTGCTTAATCGAGCAAGAGAGAAAAAAGGAAAGAAAAAATGAACTTGATTTAAAGAAAAAAAGACCGAACATAAGTAACTGAAGCACTGCATTACTTGTAAGATGTTCTTTATAAATGTTAATGATAGCGACACGGAAGGGAAAAAGCTGGTTCAACGGATTACGAGCATTTTTTTTTTCGCTATTTGTAATATACATCTTTAATATATTCAATTTTGAGATTTGGTTTTTTTTCTTTTTTAATTGTTAAGTATCAGGTTTTTTTTAGGAGGGTTAATCACAGTTGACATAATACAGTAAATATGATTGCGATCTTTGTCACTTTAATGTGACAAAGTGTTAGCTATCAAAAAGAATAATTATTCCTTTTGTGTATATATGTAATTTACTCGCATCCTCTTTATATTGAACGTTTTGTTAGTTTAGTAAACAGTTATTGAAAAGAGAAAGTGGTCAATTTTTCTTTTCTTATTTTGACAAAAAGGCTGGAGAGCAAGTGGGGTGTGAAATAAAGCAACTTTTTTTTTTCTTACATTTTTTGCTGATTAGTTACAGCAAAGTGTTTGTATGCAAAAAAAAAAGGCCACTGAAAGGGAAAAAGATAACAAAAAGGAACAAAAGTTAGAAAGGAACGATCATTTGATTTGTAACCAACATTTATTTTTTATTCAGTTTTTTGCTCAGTAATAGGCCTCGTAACAATGTTATTGTTGCTGCTGTTGCCTACTTTTTTTTCCTGCAGATTTTTTGTCTATTACTGTTTTACACCACGTCAGTTTTTCTTCCATTTTCGTTTCTGCGGTCATCGCAGTGATATTTGATAAGAAATCCCCACTTTTTATCTTTTACCTACCGTAAGCTTTGTTTGAAGTTATTTGGTGATGATATTACTAATTTTTTTCTTTTGAGAATCGGAGAAATAAGAGAGCAGTATTTTTTATTGTTATTTTTTTTTCTTTTTTTTGTCTTAATATCCTTTAATGGTTTCATATTTTATTTCATCGCCATTACTTTCTTTTCTTGACACTTAGCTGCTAGTATATTTCCTAAGTTTTGAAGAGTTTTACCGTAAAAAGTGATTACTGTTGGCTGAGGTGATGAGCAGTGTAGTTTATGCAAATGTATTTGATAAATTTTCGCCATTAGCTGAAACGTTGTTTATTTACTGCGGTTGCTGTTGCTGCTTTTGGACTTTGATAACTATCGATCAGTTGGTCTAAGACGTTGGACAGATTTACTAAGTTTAATTCCTTTCACCACTTCAGTGTCATCTGCAATATTTGCTATTCACTTTTTTGAATATATCAGTTGTAGAAAACTGTTAGCTGTTATTTTCAATCTTTCAATTAGCAGAATTTTTTTTCTTTAAGCGTAATTTTGCCCATTGATTCTATTTCCCCCGTGTCTTTTCTTCAATCCCTCAGTTCCGTCACCTCCCCTCCCCCTTCTTCATTTATCAGATGTTCCTTTTTGAGCCATTCATTGGACCTTATATTTTTTTGCGGTTATTCACTTGACATTATTTGTCCATGAATAATCTAAATTTTCTGATGCGTTATTTGAGCTGATGAAATCTTTGCAGTGGTACTTTTGTATTTCATAGTTATTGTGCAGAATAGTGAGGTAAATCTGAAGGTTTGTAATATATAACTGTGCGAACATTGGTTAGCAAAATTTTATGTTAATTTAAAGTTTTTTTATGAATTTTTTCTCTTTTTTGATGAGACAATTACAGTTTTTACAAAAAATATGGTAGTTTGCAAGATTTTTTTGACATTACAAATTTCCACCCTATCTTGTTCAGTTTTTTATAATTATCGAAACTTTGCTTTTATTTTGAACTGTTGAGCTATCTTTATGGCAGAACAAATTATGTAGACAAAATTTACAAAAAGTAATAGTACAGAAGTTTTTGCAACGACTTTCATAACAGAATTAGTGAGGGGCAAAAATAGTTTGGAATGTAATAAAAATTGAATTTTATGAGCAATTCACATGTAGTTTTTTTTGTGTAAAACAAAAATCTAGGGAAGAGCGCAGAGTTAAGGTGTTGTTAATATAAGTAAAAAAAAAGTACAACAAAAACCTTTTATTTTTTGTTGGAAATGGCAACTGAAGAGGGGAAATAGCGGAATTAAAAGGTTAGGCAGAAGATTTATATGCAATTTTTTTTCCTTGGTAAATATTCATCGCCGTTTTTCCGTTTTGTTCATTTCTAGTAGCAGTCAATTTTTTGGTTATATATTTGTCCAGATACAGCTATTTGACCAGGTTAGGTGGTGATTTTTTTTTTCTGCTAAACATTCAGTGCATTAATGAAAATTTAACAAATTTTTATTGAAATTCAATTTAACTGCCGGCAGCTTTATCAGAGTTAGTGTAAAGATGATAAGCATTAATTATGCGTTGTTTAGATTTTTCTGGTTATTTTTCTTTTCGTTTTAATAGTATATAAAATAAAACAGGGTAGGCGAATATGTAAATGAATAGTTCTGTTATAGGGAATTTTTTTAATTTGTAACTGTTATTATTATTTTTATGAGTAATATTGATTCTCCATTTTTGAAGCATGTATCTATTTTGTGCTTTAATTAAATTTTAGTATTCTTTTAAAGTCGAGACAATGTTAACATTTCAGTACATTGACCAATGAAACAGAAAGATTTTTGGGGTTAACAAATAAAAAAAAAATGAAGAATTTTGAGCGGATTCTATTTGTAGAACTTTTCTTCTTACAACAGTGTGTTTTCTGTTTAATATTGTTTTCGCAAAATAGGGTTTTATTTTTTTCACTGTTTTGCTTATTTTCTATCTCCTGCTTTTCCTGTTTGTCGTTTATCTTATGATGATTTATTTTTCTGACCATGTGTGAATGTGCGGATAAGTTGGGGGTGGAATTATTATATCAAAAGAAGGGAAGAAACTTGGTGGCTACAATATTAGTCTGTTTAGAAACAATAATCTTATTTAGTGCTGGCAAATAAACTTCAAAAATGTTTTTTTTTTTTTTGATTTAACAAATAACTCTGCTGACTTTTTATGCTTCACAAGTCAATTACTATCAATCTTTGCTTTTTCTTTTTTCCTGAGCAATTATCAGCTTTTATTTATTTGACTGCTTGAACCGTATTAATAGCTCTATGTGATTAACGGCTTATAGAAGGAAGAGGAGGATTAAAAGGTAATAAAATGTTCCACTAATTATTACTTTATCATATTTAGTTTTAATCTGAACATCATTTATAAGAATATTTTGTTTCGTTTATTTCGGAATTACATACTTAGTATATCGTACTGATAATCTGAACATGGCATTCTGTCGGTTTTTTCTGCAGATCAGTAAATCGCTGTTGACACCTTTTAGTTGATTGAATTGAAAATATCAAAAGAACAATTTAGATGGATATAGATTTACAGATGGATGACTGTCTGCTTTAGTGAACAGTTGGTGAATGACTGCTGATAAGTAAATTCTGTAGATAAGGATTACATAAAGCCATTTGACAGTCTTCTATAGGTTTGTTATTCTTCACCACAACTTTTTTTTTCGTCTGTTTTGGTTTTCTTTTCGACTTTTTCGTTTGTTTTTATCTCATAAATTTTTGGTTACTTTTTTTACAAATTTATTTTTGCTGTTTTGGAAAAGATTATGAAGGGATGGGATAAGAGATTCAATGGAGAAAGGAAAGAAAGGGATATGGATGAGAATGGAACAATGTTTACTTGTGTTA